TCACTGGAGCAGGATAATTAAGAAATCCTGCGCTATTGGAGCTGGGAGACCGAAGGTCTTAACCTTCCTGTCTAAGACTGTAGTCTATCCAAACCAAAACTGCTAGGAGGTGATAGAAGCTGAGTTCATATCCATACCCCCTTACCAAAATGTTGAGATCCGCTATCGGCTGTGCAAGCAGGATAGAAAGTGGGGGGGGGGGACGAAAAGTTCCGCCTCCTGTTATTTGCAACAGAAACTGCAATTCCTAAGTACAGATTCTAGTATTATAGTGAAACGTAATTTATGGAGAAACCAATCATCATAATTATGGTAATCAATCACCTATGCCAACCAGTCTAAAATCAATCTTACATTTGAGTATCTCTGTAAACAATAGACATATCATTCTAAAAATTAATCTATAAGTACTTTTAAATATGGAGAATGATAATATGTAGCTCTTATTTTATAATATTAAACTGTTACTCAGATATAGTGTTTTAAGGCTGGTTAATTGAAACAGAAAACTAATATTCTAAATAATATAAAAGTTGAAAAATATGTAAGGAATATTTCCTTGTATGAAGAAAGAGATTGGAAAACTGCTGTACTTCAATATTCAACTATTTTTATGCTAGTTTATAAGTATAATATGAAATCATAGTAGTTTGTAGGAAGTAAGTAAACTGTATACAAGCTTGACAGTTTTAGTACAAAATATCTAGTAGTAACTAAATTAACCTATCTAATTCTTTATTATTGACTTCATTATAACTATGTGACTAAGTTGGCAGGGTTTGGAGTCAAACAGGAATATTTTGAATGCTTTATACATGAGTTATCATTGCTAGTAATAATGAATTAATAAATATTTTAACTATAATACTGGAAAATCATTATAGCTGAGGATTGTACTATGATAGCTAATACAAAACTATTTAATAGCTTCTCTAGTACTATAAAACTAAGAAATACTACTTAGAATCCAATATCCTACTAAACTAAAGTTTAATTCTATAAATATAATATTTTAATTAATTATTAACTAGGTAATATACTACTTATATCTGACAATACTACAAACTATATACTTTATTCTCTTGATACCAGTATACCTATAAGATAATTATTAGTTAGTATAATAATCTATTTGCTGTAATTTCTTAAGTTTTTTATAATGATCATAGAGTAGAATATTCAAAACATCTCAGTTTGATTTCAGATATCATATACCTACTACTTACATTATTAGATTGAGGAGAAGAGCAAAGATTTGTATCTATAAGTTTTTTTAGTCATCAGATATCCTGTACTGAAATGGTCAAATTTGTATACAGTTTACTTACTTCCTACAAACCACCATGACCTCATGTCATACTTATAAACTAGCATAAAAATAGTTAAGTATTGAAGTACAGCAGTTTCTCAATCTCTTTCTTCATACAAGGAAATATTCCTTACATATTTTTCAACTTTTATATTATTTAAAATATTAGTTTTCTGTTTCAATTAACCAGCCTTAAAACACTATATCTGAGTAACAGTTTAATATTATAAAATAAGAGCTACATATTATCATTCTCCATATTTAAAAGTACTTATAGATTAATTTTTAGAGTGGTATGTCTATTGTTTACAGAGATACTCAAATGTAAGATTGATTTTACATTGGTTGCCACAGGTGATTGATTACCATAATTATGATGATTGGTTTCCCCGCATTTTCATGTTAACTTATACCCCACTCTCCCTTCGGGACAATCAAATGTTCAATCGCAACCATGAGGCTAACCCCCTCACGAAATAAGGAGCCCTACCATTAACATACGACTCTCTGTGAGGATCATGTCCCGAAGGCCAACACCGAGTCTAGAATGCGGTACAAGACTAGACTCGATTCACGCAAGAGCGGGCACGCAACAGACACCAGAAGAAGGAAGGAGCTTTCCACCCGTGGGACCCCCCACACCTACACATCCCCACCATTAATCTTCATCCTTCTTTTGCAGAAGAAAAAATCCCAAGTGGATGTCATCCGGAGTCATCACAGTCCATCTACCGGGCGCACTCGGGTTAAATTTCATCATCAACAGCAGCACATACTCCCCAAGTGGGTCCTCATGATCACACCCAGCGTTCTCCCCAGAAACACTCGGACCCCGGACACACACGGTGTGGAGCAATGACAACACCGAATCAGCACCTAAGCAATTACGCTGACAGAGAGCCCCACTTGTACAGTACAGTGTCCTTGCATGAGTGTGCAATTTTTAAAGCCGAGAGGTAACTGAACGCGCGTATGCCACCCTACCCGACTACCATCACCACACGGAGCACAAACTATTATGATATCCGGCACACTTTCCTATGGGGGTGGGAGGCTACGTACGTGAGCACTAGCACAGCGGGATCCCACCTTGACAGCACGAACACTTGCCCGCGGAAAACTCGACTCGAATGAGACTTGGCAGTGGGAACTTCCCTTTCCGTTCCTATCGAGTGCGATAGCAAGGACTTTCCTAAGGAATTCCGGCGGGGGCTGTGATTTATTTGCATGAGGTTTTTTTTCTACCCCGGCGCTTTCTTATTCAGGGTGGGACCTATACTACACTATACTATTATATCCTCTCCCAGAAGCGGACCTCTTCCTAAGCTAGGTAGGTTGTTGGGAGGCAGAACTAGTTTATCATAGCGGAGCTACCACACTTTAGTTATCATGTTGTGGAGTTTGTAAAAGGGTAGTGTGGTGGACCATATTCGGTAGACTTGATCGCTGCAATTCCATCGTATGAATCATCCTTGTTGTTCGGGATCGCGGGGAACGAACCTATTTACTTGTGCGACCCTATGAACTATAGCCGGTTGGAACGTAGACACCATTACTACACCACCTAAGTAGAATCCTCGGGGACCTTCCACTCCTGACAACCCTCTGCAACCTCCAGTCTTCAAAGGGCCGAGTGATTGGTCATGATGCGGCCTTCTACCGTAGAAACTCCAATAATCGACCCGTATGCCGTCATTGGATTTGCCTTCTCTGGTAGGATCTGGTGTTTTTTCTTTTCTTTACCTCTCTCAGAGGGGCTTATCAGCTCACCTTTTGCTGTGTTTTTCGCCCCTTTTCGGGAGGAGGGAATTTTCAACGACATAGCACACGTGCTGATTATTGGAGTTTCTACGGTACCTACTCTTCAGATCATGTACGGTGAGGGGGTGGAACGGTGGACAGTAGGGGAGGGGGGGGGTTCGGGAACGATTCCTGCGGGTGAAAAAAAAAGTATTCGGGGGAGCTGGCTTGGAAAGGAGGCAGAAGAGATTTTCTAGTTCTGCACGGGGTTTTCCGGGTCACATGTCCCAGCCCATCCAAACTTGCCTTTGGTGGGAAGTAAGATATGAAGAGAGATCTCCTCAGTCTATCATTGTCTCTCTCCACCTCATCCTGCATGAATCTTATAGGTGTCGAGATTTTTAGATACCATTCTGGATATTGAAATACGGTGTACTTGTACAACAAAGAAACCCACCCAGCACACAATAGTACTCCACTCACCACAAAGTATCACGACTTTTATGAGTGGGTTGGCTCTAAAAAATTAATATTTATTTGAACCTAAGACAGTGAATCCAAGCGTCCAGTGCATGGGTGGGTGCCCGGGACGGACGGGCATATTGGCGTCTGTCCAGACCACTGCCCAGGACTACAGCCCGCCAGGGCCCTGTAGGGCGCCCCGGACGGTTGAGAACACTGACCTAAGACCACATTTCAAATCTTAATTAATTACTACAATAATATTATCATAATAATATTATGGTTGCTGAAATGTCGAGAAATGAGTATTAGGACAAGAATAAAGATGAGAGCGAGAATAAGAATAAAGGTGAGGGTATGGGTGAGGGTAAAGATGACGATGAAGGTAAAGGCGAAGGTGAAGGTGAAGGCGTGGACAAGAACTCAGAATTAGTACCTATGGTTGTAAAAAAAGTATATTGTATAGTAATATCTACAAAATGCAATACTACTTGACAACTCAATGAGTAAGGTAGATGGACTTATGACTAACTTTATGAGGAATTCATCATTTTTATAAATAGTCTTTGTCATCTTATTATGGTACTAGTACCATCCAACAGCCTTCCTAGTAATATACTAATGAATACAAACTAGCTTTTACTACACTGATTAAATATCACCATTTTGAAACTGCAATAGTGGTTTCCTATAAATGCCATCTCCTATTGTCAGAAGTTGCTAAGCTTGCTGGTGTAGAGACTTTTAAGCACTCTCTATGATGAATTTTTCATAATCAAGACTATAGCTACTATTTTACTAGTTAATTTATTTTTTAATAACATGACAAAGTAGAAGTAATTTGATTGAGTACAGCAATTTAGTAACTAGAGTGAGTCCAATTGGAGTAAGGTGATTTTTTTGGATGAGGCTGCCTTCAGTTGTAGTTAATTATCAGGAATGGTTTGAGTCATCCATAAGCCTAGTATAAAATAAGGTGAAGACTGTTTGATACCTAAATTTAAAATGCTGCAACAGTTATGGTTTGGAAAGTTATTTGTAAAGGTCAGAAGTGACAACTGATTATTCAGGAAGTTGAAAATTGGATCAGAAAACTACATTCAACAAATTATTTTTCCTATGATCCTCTTTCCATGGTAGTAGCAGTTTTGCTATAAAGTGGGTCATACAGGATACATCTAATAGGATGGTATCTTTGCAAACTTGAACAGGGAGAAAAAAAGAGAGAAAAAAGTGTATTCAATGAGATTAATCTCAGTTCCCCGTCGTCCTCGATTTTTACTTCCATATCCGAGTACTGTACAATACAATACAAGAGTGCACGGTGCTGTACCGATCCTCGGACATAGCGCCACCTCGACAAACAGTAACACAACTAGCCCAATGATAGCAAATACCTAATCCACAACACTTTCAGTGAGGCTAGCACGCCACAAACTGCATCTCTAGTCACAGCCCCAAGCACTTCACAAATTAGATGGATGAAAGGCACAATTACACGTGATAGGATAAGGGTACAATTGAAAATCACTAAAGCCGCCCAAGAAAATCACCGGAAAACAAGACAGAACAAGACCCATGAAGATTTTTGATCAAGAAATATACGGTACCATCGACCGGCCTTCCCTAAACAAAAAAAGAGAAAAGAGTAGAGAGGGTGAAAAAGGCGATATACGGTAGAAGAGATTGAAGAAGAAAAAGTAAGACACGATGACATAAGTATCAATACCACCCCTTTCTCCTACTCCCGCTTCCCTTTGCGGGAGCTCTGCCAATGACCCAGACTCCACGGCGGTTATCGTCGATCATAGGTCTTCCATGCGAGAAACTGCCCAATTGTCATTAGCAAACATGCCCCCCCAAATCCAATCCAGAAAAGACAAGAAAAAAACATACTCAATCTCACTTCTAACCCTGCGAACGCCCTTGGCTTTCCCCTCATAAACTCTCATCTTCTCGAAGAAAACGTAACTCCCATAAAACATGCCACATTCCGCACCCGCAGTCTCACCCTTCTTCTCCATGAACCTCCTGTAGGTATTGGCGTTCACGTTACCAATGGCCTCACGAAACTTCTTTTGTGTGACCTTGGAGTACTTCGGGTTGCGGAAGAAGGCACGGATTTTGCGGCGGAGCTCATCACAGGAGTCATAGACTGGCACTGAATCCGTGGACTCTCCGGGGAGAGGGATCGATAGGAAGGGGAGGTCCGGATCCGCCGGCTCTTGCTCGTCGGTGTGGGCGGAGCGGTCCAGGTAGACGTTAGTGGAGATTGGGACCAGGGTTCTATCGACTGCGGGGTAGGAAGTGGCGGGGACGGGAGCCGGAAGGGCAGTGGCTGGATCCGGTACCATGGATGTGGTAGCGGTGGTGGTGGTAGCGGTGGCGGTGGAAGGTGTAGACTTCGTAGCACGAGCTCCACGGCCTTTCTTGGGCGGGACGCGCTGGAATGCCTCTGGGGCCATCTGCCCGAGGTCGATCATTCCACTGCTCATCCTGTTCTTGGGTAATTTGTGCCTCTTGTATCCCGTTAGTATGTTTGCTCTCGAAGATTGTACAGGCACGACACGTACAGGAATGATTGCTGTGTGGAGGAGATGTGGAATTGTGTTTGCGGGTGGAGAAGGGAAAAGAGGGGGGGGGAACAGGAGGAGGAGAGTACTTGGGTGCCAGTACAGGTTTTGAAAAAAAAAAAGAATGTCTGAAAATTAGGGTAGCCCAGGAGACGAGCGCTGAAGCTAGCGAGAGTTTAAGCACAAACTAGGATACGAGTCTGCCCCCATGACGCGGATCACGTGATTTTTACGTCATGACTCCGAGGAGAGGGTTGTGGATTGCAGCAAGGGAACAGTAAGGGGCCCAAACGACGAACCAGAATGACTTTTGGGGTCCTATCCACTCGAGCACGGTATCATAGCTGAAACACGTGTTGTGCCCTGTGCACGGAAAGCGAAAACGCGGCTCAGGAAGTGCCAGCACCATGGATCCATTGCAAAAAACTTGTACTCGTACCGTCGTAATTTGGTTTAAAATAGGGGAACTGCTAACAAACCTTCCGTGAAGATACCGGCACTCGAGCACCTGCTTCACCGAAAACACTACATACAAAGTAAAAGCATCCGTTTCCCTTCCCCTCATAACTAGAAAACCCAATCGTGATCCATTGAATCCATTCCTGTACCTTTTGAGGTCCTTAGTTGCCTATGATAAGGGTATGGAAAAACGAGCGATGCGCCATGGGAGACAATTAACAGCCGCAACAACCGACGAAAACCACCCCCCCCCCTATCTAACTTACCCCCCACTACCTAGAGATCTATGCTGTCAACTTCAAGAACCAATCCGCGAATAGAACAGTCAACATTGCGTGTGGTGCGATGCGAACGTAGTATCTATCAATTGTCAGATTCTAGTCGAAAATAAGGTACAACTGGTAAGACTTACGTTCCGAAACCTCTGTAAAATCTCAACAGTCCCTCCTCCTTAGCAACCTTCATGGCGCAGTCCAAGCTTCCCTTGTACGGGAGCTTTCCATCGGGACCCTTGGTTTGCTTCTGCAGTCTGGTTTTAACCTATCCCGTTGCTGTCTGTTAGCCTCCTATTGTTTGGCATCGTCAACGGATCTGAGACATACGAAATCGAACGGCAAGCTGAAAAAACTGGCGAAGAAGCCCGCAACCGCGCTGGCTGCAATTCCTCTCCCGACCTCTGCGTTTTTCCCCTTCCCAAGGACACTGTCGAATGCCTCGATCTTTGCGAATCGAGCTTTGCTCTCCGAATAGAAGGCCAATTGACCGAAATTGAGGGCCATAGCTCTAGCAACTGTGGGCAAGCAACCATTCCATAGTGCGGCAATGCCTTCCTCACCCGCAATCCTTCTGAGGGCATTCACAACGCTAGTGTAATTTTTTCTCTCCGCCAAGGGTCTCAGTCCATCGGATTGCATTCTGATAAGCGCCAAATCTGCCGGATTACCCAAGACTGCACCTAACCCACCGGCGGATAGTGCTGCCAGCGTTCTCTCGCCAAATGTTACGGGACGACCCTCAGCCTTGGCATTGGTGGTGATTTTATTCATAAACGTTGTGAAGAATCCCATTCGGGCTGTTGTATATACTGCTTGACGGAGAAGACCAGCGGAGAGACCGCTGTAGAGATCAAGGAATTTGCCTTGCTTGATTATGTCACCGGCTACTTTGAAAGCAGAGGGTCGGATGGCGTCCTTGCGAACACCTTCGCCAGCTAATTGAATACGGACCTACGGAATTCCATGTCAGAAGGGGTTTATTTAATCGTTTCCCGATATGATATTCGGAATTCGGGGTTTGCGTTGATTGAGAATTGGTATAGGGTTAGGGTTATATTTGAGCGGGAGCTTAATCGAGCTGAAGAGCTAAAGCTCATGAAAAGTTCCGCCCTCCCGCCAACCAGCAAACCTTTCCGAGAGGCGGGAAAACACACCTTGACCATGTCTACCGGCTGAATAACACTCGTTGCGATCATTCCTGCTGCTCCCCCGTTCAGGAAGGGAAGTACACTGCGAGTAATGGGGTGGTGCAAGAAGTCTGATTTGCCACCGCGACCGACGGAACGGCCTGGTGCCGCTGCTGCTGCCGACATGATTCTACCGTAGCTGTTGTCTTCCTTTAGCGGGCGGGGAATTGAAAGCGACTTCTAGATTTCACTAGGAGGGAGAGAAAGGGAGTGATGGAGAAGATGAAGGGCATACCTTTGAAAGGAGAAAATAGACCGGGGTTGGAAAGGTCAGAACCAGGACGTTGGGAGCTGGAAGAAGGATACAATGTTAGCCGGTTCCGTCGGCTCTGGTGCGGACGCGGTAAAGAAAGGGCCGGTACGAGTATGTATGTAGCGTAGCTGTGAAAAAAGTTTCTTAAGGGTGTCACTCACAGTGGTGGGGTGAGTAGAGGGGGGGAGGTGAGGAGGAAAAGAGGAGGAGGGTAATAAGTGAGGAAGAAAAGAGAAGCGACAGGCACAGGATAGATGATAGAATAGAGCAAAAAAAAATGAGGGGTATCTTGAGTTTTGCGCTTTCGCTCCCGCCGGGGTGCGTAGCACAGGTCATGTGTAGGTGCTCCGGATCCGTCAATCTTGACAGCAATCATTAATATCGCTTCCACAATCCCCCTCACATTTCGAAGCTCCACACCCGGTACCGGTAGACAATTCATTCCAACACCAAATGATAATGCCTCTCCCTCCATCCCTAAGTTATCACTCATGTGCCGGACCTCCGCGCCCATCACACCAGCAGCGGCTATGTTTGTTAATTCATTTTTTATTATTACCGGAATAACCTACAGCGAGCAGATAGCAATTCAGCAACTAGTGGGAGTATGCGCTCCCTTCACCCATCCATCCAACCCTTTCCTTCCCACTCCCAACAAAAAAAAGACTCTTTTCCCCGGTCTCTCCCTCCCCCATCCCTACGGTGGTAAGTTAACCGTAGATAATGGTATTAAGATAGCCAGCCTTGTTCCGAGGTAGATTCTTTCCCTCCGAGCGAGGCGAGAATGACTCGGGTTAGGAGGGTTACGTAAGATGACCCTCAACAACCGTACCTTTTCTCCGTTGAAGAAGGCATAGAGAGCATGGCAAGATCTCGAGAGAGAAAAGGTCAGAGGTGGGGGGCTTTATATCTGTTAGAAAGTAGCATGACATGTGGATTGATCTCTTTTTTTTATTTTCGCTATTTTTATTTTTATTTTTTTTTCATTTTCCCTCCGTAGTTTTCGCCCTGCACGATGCGATGTCACCACACTGGCTGTAAATTAATCTAACCCCCCCGGAGACAGCCTTTTTTTCTTTCGATTACTCTGCCATGTGAGGAAGGGACCGAGCCCGGAGGGGCATCACACTGTAATTGAATTTGTAAATTTACTGTCTTGTATTGTTTTTTGTTAGCTGCTTCTGATAAGACCGACACTTCTCAGATTGAGGGAGCTTCTTATCATGTTCGGTTAGGCTGACGCCCAGAGTGGGGGTGCGGGGTAACAAGCCTCGCATGCGTGGGAAACTAAAATCGTGGAATCTGGGGAAAAGCCTGGACAGAAAGTGAAGGCGCTGGAATGTAAATTACCATTATTCTAACTCCAATGCTTACCGGTGCGTGTACCTGTACAGTACTGTATAGCACCATATCTATCCTTCGAATCAGTAGAATAGTCTGACGGGATGAGGTGCTCGAATAGGTGTTTGGTGCACTTTGCTTCTTTATCTTGGGACCGCGATTGAAAATTGGGAGAAAAAAGTGATTGCCAGGTTTTATGCAAAGTTAAACGAGCAGCAGGAGATCAGTGGGGGACAGCGGCAGCTTACTGGTGGACCAACCAACTGCCGAGAATGATATCCCAACACCGGTTAGAAAGTGTAAACCATCAGAACCTATGATAACACGACCCGATTTTCATGAGTTGGTCGCAATAACTGGAATTTCCTCCCCGTCTTAGATTCTAACGTATTTTATGGTGTAACCGGTCACGACGGAGTAACCGACCACCTATCACACAACAATCCCCTTCTTTTGATCCTACTGCAGAAGCACAACCACGGCTCAGTATGCCAAAAGTGAAAGGCTGTACTAATTCTGCCTATGAGAGTTGCATTAGCAGTGCGCTTGCTGCTTTAAAAGAGAATGAAACTCTTAGTATTCAAGCTGCAAGCGAGAAATTTAGTGTTTCCCGTATAACCTTGCAAGACCGGCAGCTCAACAAAGTTAAACCTCACAATGAGGCTTATGAAAGACAGCAGTTGCTTACTGAAGAGGAGGAGAATGAGGTAGTACAGTGGGTTAAGCATTTAGATACCATTGGCATTCCACCAAGGCTTATACACTTACATGAAATGGCATATGCAATCTTAAAGCAGCACCCTGAGGGAGAACATAGGTCTGAAGGAAAGCATTGGATATCCAGGTTTCTGAACAGGTATCAGGAAATAGCAAGCCGATTTTCGAGCCAAATTGATTACTAGAGAGAGTCTACTGGGTGTCCAGAAGGAATTAAAAGCCTTTTTGACCATCTTGGGGAGGTAAAGTCCGGATATCACATTGGTCCAGACGATATTTGGAATGCAGACGAAAATGGATTTGCGATAGGGGTAGCAAAGAGGGGAAAGGTGTTGTGCTATTGCAAGCGACGAAATCTACGAGTATGGCATACAGGAAGTCATGAATGGGTTACCTTGATGGAAGCCATATCTGCTGCTGGGGAGTTACTCCCACCACCTTATATCTATGAAGGTGAAGTTCACCTAATGGGTAACCATGACTATGAGGAAAGAGATTTGGCTCATTTTGCAATTTCCAAAACTGGATGGACTAATGATGATATTAGTGTTTGGTGGTTGAGAGAGGTTTTTGAACCTAGAACAAAGAGTAGAAAATCATGACTTTTAATCCTCGATGGTCACTCTTCACATTTGACTGTTGAATTTATTGAATATGCGCAATCTCACGACATTCAGCTTCTCTGCTTTCTGAGTCACTCTACCCACATCTTATAGCTGCTAGATGTGGTTCTTTTTAGACCTCTTGCAACCTACTATAGCCATGAAGTAGATTCATGGTCTCGTGCTCATTCTTACCAAACTCTCAACAAGGGAGATTTCTTTCCACTTTGCCAAAAAGCCCGACAGGCAGCCTTCACGAAGCTAAATATCAAGTCCTCCTTCATTGCAACTAGAATTTATCTCTACCATTGTGCATGCGTTCTTGAAATTTTGCAACAAGTTATCCCATCCTCCACACAGCTGATTGAAGTTACTACTATCACTTCTACCCTCCACTCTCCTGCCAATAACCTTCCTCTAAAGATTACCTCAGCTACTCCTCCTACCAACCTCAAAGAAGTCACTCACCTTAAGAACTTATTACAGTCCTCAAATAATATTGAGGATATTAAGAAAGTTGGACTTGCCCTGGGTTCCACAGCCGGCACAGCCATGGCAGCAGCAACAATTGCTTAAGAGATGGTTAGACAAGTTGCAGCAGCCCTGAAGAAGAGCAAATCTGATCGATGTCATATTAGTAAAGCTAAACTAATATCATGACATGATCTTGATCAAGCCTGAAAGGATCGATTAGGGAAGGAGATCAAAGCTCAAAAGAGAAAGAAAGTAAGGAACACAAAGAAAATACTACAGTATAACCAAAGGAAAACACCCTCAGAAAACCCACCGAATGATAGAAGGCAGCATGCTTGTCCAACACCGGTGCTGATAAACGAATGCAGCATCCCTGGACCTATTATCCCATCTCCAACACTAGGTACTATTTCCACTGCACTTGGTCAATCCCACCACTCTCCTCTCAACAGAATCAGTGACAATGCTACATCTAGCAGAAGTTAAGCTAGCTCTCGGTCCTATTTCATGGTTAGTTTGCCCTACTTAATATCCTGATATTTGTATTGTTATCTAATGTCCCGCAGATTGAGATTTTTCCAGTACTACATTATCTATATACTCTGATTTATGACTTTTTTTTTTTCTTTTCTTTTTCTTCTCAGTTTGCCTTGCATCTTTGAACCTATCAGTATTACGGAAGTTTTTACTCAGATGTTTGTAGTTGTGTTATGTGCTTCGTTGTCTCCCTTATAGTGATTTTCTGGGGTGGTCGGTATCCCGGTCGTGGCCGGTTGCACCGTAAAATACGTTAACGCACCGACCTTGATGAGGGCACAGTGAGACGACTGGCCCGGGTTTCTGACTTCTGTGCTTATTTTTAGCGCACCTGTTCAGCGCCAAAGCATGGAGAAAATACAGGAGATAATCTTGATAGTCTACCCGAGTAGGGGCTTCAATATAGGGCATGGTTAGAGGCCCGGTTATAGAAATCGTTCTGAACGATTTCTGAAAGCGAAGGTCGAAACTTACAGTATCATAAGCCAAGACGCCAGGTCTCGATGTGCTTGAGTAATGGAGTGGGATTGCTTCAAATCTGTTAATCAGTGTTTGGTGCAGTTGATAAAGTATACCGATGTGGTATCGTGTCAGGGTACTGTACAGTATTCGTGAAAGCGCTTCCAATTTCAATGCTTTAATTGGAAGTGTTTGTTGTCCAGATTTGTAGTATGACAGTGCTGGTGGCTAAGCGGGATACTGTATGATACCGCAGGAATTTTGTATGTAAGGGAGAAACAGGGAGGTAGTATTGCATGGGACAATCACCACAATTGGTCTGCAGTCATCCTTTTTGGTCAGGCCCTTGGGTTTATTCTCAAATACAGGAAATCAATGGAAAACACCCTAAAGTATCTCCTGGAGGCTAAATAACATAAGAAACTTCAACTCCCTGTTTTAGAACAGGTAAATGACATATAAGTATCAAAATCGTAATGTCATACCGGTGGTTGGAAACAACCAAGGTCCTGGGACCCTAAGTTGGACCCTCTTGTGTAAGGAAAAACCTCCACTCACATGAATATAAGAAGAAAACTTTCAAACAAGCTCCCTTCCCCCTTTAATATATTTCCATTGGCTGATTATGGTTGTATGTTAAGCATCTCCGGGTCCTTCCCTTTCCCCTAGTAGCCCAAGGATAGACAGTTCACAATAGTTCACAATCGTACATAATATGGTAAGAGGTCTGGGCCACGGCCCCAGAGCGCTCACATAACAGGTCTCGATCCTCGCTTGACCGATCTGGTTGTATGATATCATACATTGAGGTGGCTTTTGTTGAACCTCATTTGGTGAATTCCGGAGGCCGTGAACTTAGGGCTACCGGCAATTTTAGCTGATGTAATATGAGGGCAAGGCGATGTAAGATACGACAATATCCTCCCCAAAGCTCTAGGACCTCATGCTTGCTACTATCAAACACTTTTCTCCCCCTATCACCATAAGCGTCCTAGAAAAGGCAGAAAATTTTCTACCCGAGCGTAATACTAGGCAGAGTATCATACGCCCGGGAAAGGTTTACCTCAGGGGGGAATTGGTTCGATATCCCTTCCCATGGTGGTGATGGCACTATGAAGGGTGAAATAAAGAACCACGGTTCAAGCCTTGTTACTGTGATACCTCCCTGGTGATTTGATGTGGGGGGTTACAGGTTCAACTGATACAGGAGACTCTACAGGAAGGCCAATGAATCCACGCGGGGATCCTTGGGGGTCAATAAACCGTCACTACCACGATCTGCTTAAACTGCTGTATCCAATTCACCAAGTAGTTCTGCGCACCCGGACCTAGAAATTGACCAGCAGGCCAATCACTTAAATGGGCACTCAATACCCTTACTCTCTGGTTGACAGGCACGTGAGCAAGACACAGCAGCTCCACTGGTAGTGGTCCCAAGCGGCTAGTCCGGCTATAGTTTTTAGGAGCCTGGGTCAGTCCGGTCGAAATTATCCACTGCCGCTAGATTCCTGGGCTAGGCCGGGCTTCGGTTTTGAAGGTCGCTGTTTTGTACGATACTGTATTGAACGGTGGCTGGTATCCTATGGGAAACACTAATACGAGGGCTATCGCTGATTCGGGGATCTGTTAGAATACCGTAGAGTCCAGTGGAACTCACCGTCTCCCAATTCAGAGACAAAGGCTCCTGAGAAGTACTAGCGTTTTTCTGACACAGTATAAGATCAGCCCCTAGACGCGTTGGACCCCATCAACTGGTGCTTGCAGTTCTATTGACTTGTCAAACTAAACCTACCCTGGGCAGGAGATAATAAGTTAGTGGTCTTCGCGGGGTTTTACGTTATTGTGGGACTTCTCTCGTGTTGGTGTGAATGGTCATCTAGTAGCGCTGGATCTAAAGACTTTCTCGGTCTGGATCGCATTGCACCTCGTCCGTTTTTTCACCCGAGCAGGGTTTTCGCCGCCATTCAGAAAAATTGGCTCCCTTCCCGCGATAAAAGCCTTTTTTCCACACCTTCCATCAGGTAGGCTGCCTGATTCCGCTTTCCTGTCTCTCATTTTCCCCTCTCCTTTTGTCCCCAAATATGTAGGTACGCTTGCTCACACGTCAGTCGCAAAATCAAGAGCGGAGTCATTCATCCAACCATTTCTCGCGAGTGATATCTCGTGAATCTGTTCAGCTACGTTTGTTGAACTTGCTAATATTGCTTATTGTTACAGTGAATGTGCGTAGGGTACGTACCGGGTGCTGCGTATGCGTTTCCGTAGTTAGATGATTTCCGGTGTTTTTCCCAGTGTTTGCTTTATGTAGTTCTACACCTTCTTTTTCTTTTCTCTCCACTCTTCTTCCGACAATAAAATTCATCGCTTTCTAAGATACAATTCGCAACACTTATGATATCATGCATGCTGGAGAATAGAGATACAGAGGGCTCTCACAATGTTTCAACCTTTGTGCTATATCCACAGGGGTGCTCGTAAAAACTCAATATCGTTCTAAAAACGGTGCTTATCATTGATAGGTAGATTCTAGTAGCCATGTGATCTATTTACTATAAGAATCCTAGGAAATGAGCACAAAGAGAGGCGTGAAACGCCAGAAACGCCAGAAAGGCGAAAGATAAAATGGGATGTGACTCACTTTGGCGATATTATATCCTAATATATTTGGCAGAAGGTGTTTGGGATGGCTCCCTTTGGTGTTTGGCACGATGCGGTTAGAAGCGAGCTGGACCTGCGGCTCGTTAGGGCCATGGTCGACTGGGTCCAAGCTCTCAAGGGGTCATGAATAGTCGCTCGAAATTGGTGAGGATTTCTATTGTTTGTAAGCTCCACTGAAATACAGAAGTTTCTCTGGTGATCTCTTGTATCTCCCCCCCACTTCAGATTCCCTATTTATATTTGATTCAACTCTCGTGCCATTTCTCATCCTTTATCACAAAATAAATTCACCACTAGGCTCAGTCCAAACGCCCTTCCGGTCCTCCCGATATAGCAGTATTGGCTTATCATAGTAAGTATTTTTTATTTTTATTTTTTCCACGTCTCGGTGCAATTAGCGCCCGAGCTTGCATCAGCTATCTGCTAGGCTTCGGAGGCTCACGCTGGGCCCGAGAAAAAATTTCAACATCCTGGAGCGAGCCATGCTGGTAGAAATTGGGATTGCGAGGTTCAAATTTGTTACTTTTTTTCCGTTTACTAATTGCCAACTCTTGATTCGTTCAGCCCACCAGAAAGGATCTCGACAGATTCACTCGACCCCCCCCCCTTCCCCCCCTGGCGGTGATCCTCTTAGTTGCTTTTTAGGACAAGGGGGGGGAGGGGATTGCTTTGCTCCATTATTACTGCTGCTGTGTTGGTCGTAAATCACACCTATGATGAATGGTGATTTTTATAGTAACGGGAGTCGCCCGAGAACATCCTGTGTATCATGGAGCTTCCCACGAGTCGGTTTTTTCATGCAGGTTTCCACAGCTGAGAACCTGGACTCATGTATTGCGAATCGGTCACTAGGGTGCGCTTCTTGGTTAACCGTGGGATGTCGATGAATGATATATGCCTGCGGCCATCTAGAAGGTACACCCATCGATATTTGTACGGGTAGGCGAGTGATTAAAAGTGATTATCCAGGTTGCTGCTACCGGGGAAAGGAGGGAAGAGCGGCTCGATGCTGGATCTCAGAGGTTTTAATAAATCCCCGGGAAGGTATGATATTCTATTACCACCTCCAATCGGGGGAAAAACGAGCTCGCAGAAAGGTGTCCATAAATACCGCCACACTTATTGCTGAGAAATACCACCCTATAGTACCAAGCTGTACCAATTGCATATAAACAGGGGATTTTTTTCTTCTTCATTTTTTCTTGTTTGCTTCGTTTTTGCAAGCAAATGTTCTCCTACAGCAGAGGGGATCAGTCAACCGACAGTGTCCGAAGGGCCAATCGCTTCTGAGCTAGGGTCCCTCGATATCCTTCCTTTTTTGCACTCGAACGAACGTAAACCCCTCAAGATTACAATGGTCAGGGAAGGATTGGTGGTACGAGCAGAGGTGCGGTGTCAATCCTGATCAAGAATTAATGTCTCGAAACCAAATCGCTCCACGGCTCAAAAGAACCAGAGGGGAAAAGAAAATAGACTCTCGATATATGCTAGCATTTTCTTAGAAGTGCCTAAGAGGGAATTGGGGTTTTCTTGGAGCCATGCTTATCCAGTGTATCACTACTATTGAGATTCTAGCGATGCACCATACCGTTATAAAATTCCTGTCCCTGATCCTCGGGCAGAGTAGATCACAAATCCGTGGGACCGTGCAGCACTAAAAAAAAAAGCACTCAGGATGGGTGCTGCGTTAAGCTACCGGTATGTGACGCTTCTATAAATAGAAAATTTCCCCACCATTAGCGACTCCGACGAGAGATACAGGCTCATAAGATAAAAGCACCCTTCTCAGAATGCCTGTCGTGATGTCAGTCAGGTCCGGTGGTGTTTGCGGATTTCGTATGGGAATTTGCACGAGTCGTTTGTTCCGTTATTTCCTAAGATCTACCGCCCGCTCTCAGTACTGTGAGTTACTCGAGTACTACTGTAAGAACTCGAATAGACAGACCATGTGCTAGACATCGTATCATAGTCCAAGATTTCCCCCTCTGGAAAAGGGGCGAAATACATACCAAGCAACATACCGGTAGTTTCTGGGACTGATAGGAAAAGAAAAAACACGAAACCTTACGGGGAGAGGGAACTCGAGCGTCCTGTCACATACCGGTAGTCCGGCATTAACTCATGTCCTGCCATTGTGCCGCAACAGCACAAAAGAGGTCTAACTTACCATCATCCGACTTGGCAAACACGCAGACGTGCTGGTACGAGTACGGCATCTAAGCTAAGATAGCAGTCTTCATCAAACGCCTATTCCTGCCTTGGTTCGAATCGGGAGCATGCGGTCCAGCGCAGCGTGTAACTTAACTCCAGAACCCCCTCCCCCGTTAACTCATATCTTACAGCGCATTTCTCGGATACTGGAGCATCGTTTCATTTATTTATTTTTCCTTTTTTTTTCTCCCGGTTATTTGACGGTAACTTACCGTACAGCGCTCTGCAGCAGGTCTAGAAGTGAGTACGGTATGTAATTACCGGTATACTTCCCGGGGCAGAAATTGCCCCACCAGGAAGTAACACCCCCCTGCCAGAACCTAGAGCATGGAACCTCCTGAGAGGATTCTACCGGTCTTCCTTTTATTCTGTGCATATGGCGAGTACGAGCTGCGTGCGGCTCCTGGTCTTTGAGTATTGCCTACTCGAGTATATTATACTCGGGGGGGGAGGGGAGGGTGTGGCATTCAAAATCGGAAACTAGCGCGGCCGAGGTGAAGTTGACAACATTTTGTGTGGGAATTTTATTATCGCAACGAGAGCGTATGGAATAGGGGTAACTTATTTCTGATCCTGATAAAAAAACATCATGATGTTGTTGTACGGTACCATACTTGGCAGCTGCTCCCGGTTGCTATTTGTCCCAAAAGACCTTTAGCTTCCAATCTTTGTTGTGTGTGGCCTGGTCCTGTGGTAGGGAGTTCGGGCGGTCGCTTTTTTCCGATTTTTAACGACTTCCTCGAGTACTCGAGTAATAATGGATGATTTGAATTATCCTCCTCGTCCAGTCCCCTTCATCCCCCCCCCCACCTCAGCCGTTATATATTAGAAAAAATACTGCAGAATAGTTCTGAAAGGGTCACGTACCGTATTTCTAAGGCTAGCATAACATACTGGTATGATAACTCCAAAAAAAAAGCGGGCAGTGAACAAATCTAGGTCGAAGCCCGCTGCAGGTCTCAGACCAAGGTTGTAATACCGGTGTCATATTATCGCTCTATAACCTGTCTGCACGAATAGGGTTTCCAGGTTTCGGCTGGGTGCGTGCTGAGATATGTCGCTTCGACGCTTCTCGAGTGATCTCACGTGAATCCCTTGCTTGGTTGCTTGCTTGATGCGTCTCACATGTAATGATCGACGGGGCGGGTGGCGGAAATGGGAAGTGGAGCTTTATCTGCGGGGGGGGGGAAGGGGGGGTTGGTGTAACGACGGAGGAGGGAGGCGGCTTTTGTCTCTCCCTGTCGGTTTGCTGTTGATGTCCAACTTACCATATTGCTAGTTCTTTCTTTTTTTTTTCCCCCGCTTCACTTTTTACTCCGCTTTTGTTCGGACGGAGGAAAGCAATCCCTGGTTCGAAAAGGTATATTTGATCTAGGCATAATTACATTTTTTATCCGTTGATGTTACCTTATATCATTTTACACCTCCGATAATCGTAGCGCAGAGCGAGAGAGTAAACAATAAGAAACAGATCCCTTCCCCTATCTTCCGACATGCACGTCCTCTACGGAACGCACCCGCTCGCTCATGGATTAAGCGGGGAAACAAAAAAAAAAAAAAAAAAAAACGTACAAAAAGGAAACTGGAAAACAAGAAACAAAAAACAAAAATTTATAATTCTTTAAACCTCGCCGTGACTGCCCTCAATGTGAGCAAGCCCGGCCTTTCCATCAGAGCCGTTTCCGGTGGCATGCATTTTTTCGTGGCTGTAAGTAATTGATGGAACGAACCCCTGGGAGTGCCATGCCTTGTCGACAGTCATGTAGAGCTGGTCGACGTCCTCGAGAGAGAGTCCCTTGGTCTCGTAGATGAAGAAGTAGACGAAAGCAATGCAGATGAAGCAGCATCCACCCCAGATGAAGAAGATATTGAGTCCAAGGTTGGCGTTGCCTTTGCCTTTGGCGACAAGGTAAGGGGTTGAGAAACCGATAGCCCAGTTGAGAAGCCAATTGGTTGCGGTGGAAATGGAAAGACATTTGGCACGGACCTTAAGGGGATAGATCTCACCGGTAACGACCCAGGTGCAAGGACCCCAAGAGCAGGCGAAGAAGAAGATGTAGAAGCAGACGAACGCGATGAGGACATTGTTTGCGACGGCGGTGAAAGAGGTAACACCCACGATTGCGACAATGAATTGGCAGAGGCACATACCGACGGCGCCGAAGAGAAGGAGATTGCGACGACCCATTTTCTCAACCATCCAAAGACCGGGAAAGGTGGAGATGACATTGACCAAGTTAGTGATGAGACCGATCAGGAAAGCGTTCTGGATACCAGAGTTCTTGAAGAATTGAGTTCCGTAATAGAAGATGAAGTTGATACCGGTCAATTGCTGGAGGGCCTGAAGTCCGCATCCGGTCAACAATCTCTTGATCATGTCGGGCTTCAAGCAGTCTGCATAAGTAGCATTTCCGACACCCAATGACATCTCGTAGTCGTGGATAGCCTTGATTTCGTTCAACTCCTCGACGATGGCAGGGTGGTCGGTTGGGAGAGAGCGGAGACGACTCATACTCTTTGCAGCAGCCTGCATGTTGTCCTTCTTGATATAGTAGCGGGGAGTCTCCGGAAGGATGTACATGCCGCCGGCCAAGATGGCAGCCCAGATGAACTGAATGGCTAGTGGGATACGGTAGGAACTGGCATCATTGCGGGCGTGAGTTCCCTGGTTGGCGCAAGCGGCGAGGAGGAGACCAATGGTGATGGCCAATTGGTAACAACCGACGATGGTTCCTCGGATCCACTTTGGCGCTGACTCAGATTGGTATAAAGGTACTTTGAGGGGAGGTCATGTTAGCCGATGGCAAGCGGGGGAAGTTTTCGGCGATAGGAAACATACCTAGTGCGGAAACTAGACCGACACCGAAACCAGCGACAACACGACCGGCGGCTGGCATTAAGCGAACATTAGCTCGTGCACCAAAAAGGAAAACTCGAGCGGGAGAAAAAAGGAAATTGGAGCAAAAAAAATAAAAAAGATAATGCAAAGACAAGTTGTCACATACCCATCAGAGGAATGGTGGTGGAAGCGACCTGGAAGGCAACACCGATGGAGAAGATCACGCAAGAAGCAATAAGGCCCATACGACGACCCAAGATGTCACCGAAGGGAGAGGCAGTGAGAGCTCCAAAGAAGGTACCAGCGGATAAGATAGAGACAATTAACGAGGTTTGACTCGAGGTCAGTGCCAATACACCCTGATCGTTCTTCTCTGTAGCGAACTCGGCCTGGAAGTAGTCCATGGCGAGGATACCATTGATGGTACCAGTATCATATCTAATTCATTGTCAGCTCTCAAGTACTGACACCGAGGATCCTTCCACGATCCCCTTCCGCCTCACTCATCCCCGAGAGAATTGGGAATTGAGAGGGAGAGTAGAAATAACATACCCGAAAAGGATACCACCAAAGGCGACGAAGACACCAATGACAATAGCAGGCACAGCCTTGCCGGCCTCGTTCTCTGGTTTCTTGATTAGGAAACCCATTGCTGATACTTGAGTTGAATTGACTTGAACGTTGAAGTAGGAAAAGTGAGATTGTTGGAAAATTAGATCCCCAGGGAATTCCCTCTCAACCTGTGACTGCAAAAACTTGGAGAGATGTTTGGGGAGAGGAGGATGGGAGGGGGTTAATATATGGGGGAAGGGGCGGAAGAGAAGAGCACCAAGAACCACACTTTCCTCCAAACATTTCTCTTCGGTGGAGTTCCCCCAGTGGGGGAAGAGTGCTGGGAAAGAAGCTAGGCCGGGGTTAATCTTTCCAGGTTTCCCATCTCGCGGGGACCCCGCTTATCCCCCCTGTGAATCACTTGTGACCGGATCATTAGCCCATCATTTCTCCCCTTGCGGGGAGCGCGTAATTTTTGGTTTTTAATTTTTAATTTCTGCGTTTCTGTTGGCCTACTTTCTCTGCAAGAACAAGAACCCCGAGGTCCGGTTCTTGGGAGCGCTCTCATTGCTTCTCTCTCATGTCCGTTTGCCATCGACCCCCAAATAGTCGTCGGTGCTGGAATCACTTGGGAACCTTTTTTATTTTTCACCTCTCTCTTAGAGAGTGGATCTGAACCTCTGCAATAGAGTCAACGGAGAGAAAATATTGAGGGAATTGAAGGACTGACAAACCGACCACCTTCGAGAAACGATAATAAGGCTTGATGGTGGCAGGTGGGGGAGCATCTGACGGTTGACAGGATCGGGTTCGTATGTAAATGGATGCATGAGACTCTGCCTGTCATGGAATGATATCATGGTTTACTTTAGGGACCTGGATCTAAGACACGCGACAATGGGCGCATTTGTTTGAATGATTTCTTTTTCCCGGAAAGGTAAGGTTAGCAGCTAAACGGATCCCAGTGGATCTCCTACCTGACTCCAGTAACATTGTATCAGCACTGGCAATTCAGGGATCAAGTTGGCTAGTTTAGTCGCCACCAATAGGCGAGAGCATTGTACAGGTACGTACTGTACTGGTACTCGGTAGAAGCACAGCACAACTCTTCCATGAAAGAACGGTAGCTTTAGACGCCATCCTCAGTTAGTAGACGGTGGAGCTATAGAAAAGTTCCTGGTAGACGGGAAATGTAGCATCATCATCATTATGGGACTTAAAAAATCTTTGACAGAACTTGAGCACCTCCACAGTACAATACAGTGCTCGAGTACAATACAAGGTTGCGAAAGGTTTTGGTAAGTTCAGTCACCAGCAAAGTTATGAAGTAGGGACATGGATTCTACCCTGGTGGCAACCAGGGAATACCTTTTCGCAACTATTACGCTCTGGTCGTACAACCTGCACACGGCCTACCGTGCCTGCAAACAAACGATGCTGTTTCATCGCCAGATGCACATAGTCTAGGTTGATATAGATAGAGAGAAAAACTCCCAATTACCCGCCACAGGAACTAACCGGACAAAGCTTGCTCGAGGTGTGATTTGCTGAGCTAAATCAAAGTGCCCTAAATCAAAGGACCCTGGAAGCGTCCTATCTAGGGGTGAGAATGAAATGTCCTTTCGTAGCCAATTCCTTTGAATCCTATTGTATCGCAGTTCCCATACCTTATTCCGACCAATACGGGCAGGAGATTCGGGTCCAAAAACGGCTCCAGCTTCAACTTAATGTAGCTTTAACACCGTAATTTAATTGTTTCTCCCTTGATGGGCCGGGTCAACGCTGTTGCCTGCTGACATGATGCAAAAATGAAAGCAAGGCAAAGTAATGACCGTTGAGACAAGAGCCCCGAAGGTGGGAGCTTTGTGATGTGACACCGCATGAAAACAAGCTCCGCCATGCACAATTATGTCTACCGAGGCATTACCACTCGATTTCACAACCCCTAGCGACCACAACTTGAGCTGCCGGCAGGGAGCGCGGTACGGCATACTCGGGGTGAATGCCAAGTGGGTTAAAGTTGTAAATTCCCTCCACTGAAAGAAAAAAAAAAAAAAAAAAATCCTCCTATGGTACTTGTACGAGCACCATGCCATACCCTACGATATTAATTACGGTAAACAGACCTAGCGCCGCACCCGTGATGCCGTGGAAAATACCCATTAGAGCCTTAGGGGCAAGTACGGGGACAAGTATTTTCTCCCCCACGACCCACCTCCCACCCCTTCCTCCTTTCCTTGCTTCCCCGAGGGCGATGAGCCGCCCTTCACTCACTCCCCCCCCCTCGGGCCACTGTGAAGGGCTTTTCTCCGACTTCACGTCGCTGAGATATCATACTGGGTCATCTCGAGTTTGGTCCCAATCTCTCACTCATTCCTCGAAACTCGAGACCCACAACAACTTTTAATTCAGGATTTAAAAATTTTCAGCGTTTCGTGTGACAGACTAAACCGAACATTGGCTCTTGGCATCCTTCTTCGATTCGATTTTGATTTTCACTGCGGACTATGATATTGTACCTAGGCAAGTGCGCAGGCAGGGCAACAGGATAGTGGCAGGCTTAGGTATGGCTTGCAGACTGCAAGTAAGAGAAGACGAACTCCTCAACATAATTCTACAAGAGAAATTTACCTCATATAATATTATACATACCCGACCTGTCTACCCCATCACCGACTGGTCGGTCGGTCATCCATGCAGATACCTGGCTAGCATGCTTGCCAATTCGTTGAGGGGTACGGTATCTGTAGTCCATGGTAGTTTCATGAAGAGATCTAGAAAGCCCTCGGGGTGAGTTGACAACCTCCACGTTTTTACGGCGCCAATTTTGCATTTGCAAGCACCCTGCACGACACGGGTACCTGAGGAAAAGATGTCCAATTGACTATTGTGCTAGGGGTGGGCAATAATGGTCAACACTATGGTGACCCATATCGATGCAAAGGATCAATAGTTAAGTGTCACCTCATTATTATAGTCTACCTCTGATTTTTCCATTGAGTGAAGTTTGCATATAGTTATTCTAACGAGCCCTCTTTACTCTTACACCGAACCTAAAGGATTAAAGTTGTTCGAATGTTGATTTTTTTAGATAGGAAATAGGTGTTCTTCTAGAATTTGGAGGCGCTGCTGTTTGCATTGTTGCATCGTATGGTGTTGTACTATTTTTGTTAGCCCCTGGTGTATGAGTACGGTACTGTACTACTAGCACAGTGCATCTATAACTAGTCCTTCTTATCCTCTTCCTCTTCCTCTAGGCGGGGCCTGACCTCTGCGGAACTACTGGTTCCTGGCGGGTGTGCTGCTGTGCTCTGTATACTTGTGCGGGTACTGTACGAGTACACTGCATTGTACAAGTATGCTACTCGAAGAAATCATATCCTAGACATTAGGATTCGGTATTATCTAGTGGCATATTAAAATCGGGCCAGTTATTTCTCTGTCGGTATACCGGTTACGGCCTCACTTTTTTCCGTGGGCAAAACAAGATAAGGACCATCGCAGGGGATAAAAAAAAACATAGTCTACCCACTCCTCCCAGGAACAGATCTCACACAACATGACATACCGGTAGCACGAACTCAACAATTTGAGACAATGTCATTCCCCACCATCAGCACCATCCACCATCGACCCCACAACCACTCCTTCCCAATCCAACCCCCTCTTACCTGGAGGCGGATATTATACTGCCTCACGCATCTGCAAACAAGGGAATAAACCACACATCAGCAGCCACCGACGACTACTGTTTTTTTTCCTTCGCCTCCGCAAAATAACAAGATCAGAAGGGATTAGCAAAAATACCGGTAAGGTAGAGAAAGAAAGAAAGAAAGAAGAAAAAGAAAATAGGGATGCGTCCTGTTCGCGCACACCTTCATCGTCAGGATGGATGGATGTCCGCACATATGCCCGACCAGCGCAGACCAAGAAGGTAAGAATGTCCGACCCAAACCACACTAAATCCACATCCTAGCCACCAACGAGATCAAACAAATGTAGCCGCAAAGGAAGGAAAGGGGAAGAAAAAAAGCGCAAGAAATAGTTGTCAGATCAAGCGAAATGAGGGCATGAGTGGGATAATCCAAGAGAAAGCAGAGGACAACCCCATCAATCCCCAGGTATGGTGACTAGATACGGCACAGTTGAAGTCTAATATTATGATAACGGGGTAGCACGCAACCCACAAACCCCAAGTCTCATAATTCCCCGCATCAACTCCACCACAACCACAGCGAAAACCCCAACCGCCGGGGCGAAGTGAGTGAGTGAGTAAACATGAATTCCTAGCTGCTAGAAGACAAGTGATATTCATCGAAGATCTCACACCACTGCGCGGTTATCATACCGCTACTATGATACCCTATAAGCTTTCGACATTGCCGGGAAGCGTGCCCACACTATCTGCTAGTCTAAGACCCTACTCGAGTACGATACGGTACCATAACTTCCCACACTCTCACCGCGCCGGAAAATTATCTTCTCCAACTAAACCACTCCTTCGCCCGCCACGGTATCCCCGCCGGTCACTTAACGGGAGCGCCTAGGCAATAGGGGGAATAAGATAAGACAAGAGGGTGGTTAAAACTTCAACTAGTCCTAATCACGGTCTCGGTCCGTTGTCGCAGCGCGGGAGAGGAAAATATCGTGAGGTTCGAGAACCGCCACCGGCAATCTCGCCACGAGCAGTTTTGGCACTGGTCACATCTGTGACGGGATTTAGTTACACGAGCTCCGAAACCCTGGAAAAGTGCAAAAAAAAAAAAAAAACACCCCTACCGCACTGGATGATGCCCCGTAGCAGGGGTGTTGTCCAACTTATCCGTCCGACCAATGGAAGAGTAAGTGCGGAGAAATATTTTTCCCTACCGGGGTTGAGGTGGTTGGTGTGACGATAGTCTATGTCTGGTATCCTGGACTGGGGTTCAGGACTGACATGTATTATCGTAATCGTGCCGACTCTCCCCGCTGATCGCGAAGCTGAGACCTGTGGTGTAAGTTAATGGTGTATAGCGCTGCTTCACCCCGCGGAGGGTGTTATATAATTATTTACTATTTGTTATGTATGATGTTTTTATGAACCTCCTCGGTTGATCCCGAATTTCACAGCTTTCAGGCGTGCGGGAAGGTACCAGTACTCCAGTATTCGAGAAGGACCGCGGGTAGGCGGGTGTGGGAGGGAAAAGAGCGTTCGAGTAGTCTACTGGA